TATAAAGCAGAGTTACAGCAAACCCCTACCACCCACCATGAAAGCTGGAGCGCCCAGCTTTCTACCAGCAAGAGCTTTCTCGAAAGGATTTCCAGACTCATGAAACTCTGTGCCAAAATAATTCTAAAAAGTGTTTTGAAAGGTTTTATGGAGATGTTGATCCTAGCCTGCAATGTGTTCTGTTTAAAGGTTGATGTTTGTGATTTGACTTTTGGTTTTGTCGTAAACTTCCCAGAGTTGTTTTAAATTGGATAAATCAATCAGCTATATTTTAAAAATATGGAATTTATTTACATGTCTGAAAGATGAAATGTGTACACTCTCAGTCTTTGAAACGACTATTGTCATGGAAAAATTGAATAATTAGTCCATATTTTCCTAGAAAAATAAATGGATAAATGCCTGATTTCCAATATTAACTTTTCATCTATAATTTGTATAGGTGATGGTTACTTGTAGTGTTCATTTTTGTTACGTTAACTGTATAGTAACAGCAATTAATTCAAATCTGTTATAACAAGATGCTATTTTTCTAAAAGCATTTATATAATATAAAGACGCAGTTGCGGTTTTATAAAAGCTGGCGAAGTAAAACAAACACAACGACGAGGATGGGATTCGAACCCACGCGTGCAGAGCACAATGGATTAGCAGTCCATCGCCTTAACCACTCGGCCACCTCGTCGCGGAAGCCTAGCCTCTCTCCAACCTTATAAGAAACGATTCCTACCAATGATTCTCTCCTATTCATTTTTGTTTGCCTGTAGGCTTTCGCTTGTAAGCAGCGACAAATCGATATGTAGCGTTTTGTGCCGATACACGACAAACCGCCCGGATCCTAAAAATTATTTGCTCGGATTTTTGCTATTCCTCCTTCTCCCCCCACACCCCACATACACATTACTTCGGCATAAAACACTGGCGGCCACTTGGGGGGGTTGGGGTGGAGCATGATGTTATACGGCAAGAAGAAACCGCCATGATGGAAAAAAGCCTTCAGGAGCATTAGAGGCGACGGCGCATGCGTGAAGCCTGGCGGTTGGTTTGAATCCGACGGCTGTGGCGGCCTCAGCGTTTGCAAGCTCTGGCAACAATGGCTGGGAAAGTCGACCGAGCCTGACAGCGGAAAAGGGGAATCTGCGGGAACGAGAACCTTGGTTGGCCTAAGTAACCGGTGTCTGGTCGGGACAGGCGCGAGTTCACGATCAGGTGAGGCGGGTTGGCAGCTGGTTTTTTCTGAATCTTCCGCCCGCGCCCTAAGCCCCTTTCCTGGCGGCTAGTCGTGGGAGTCAGCCGGAGATCCGCCTCAGATGACGCCATTTTCTTAGGAACTTCCAAACAACCCCCCTCCCATCTTTCCCTCCCCTTTTCTGTCAAAAGTTTCTGCTCCTCAACTGCCCGCGGCCCACCCCGCAGAGGAGCAGTAACTCCTGTTGTATGTTGGGAGGGAAGGGAAGAGGGCTTTACTTCAGCCCGAGCGAGAATCCTCGTCTTCATCAGAGTGGCTGTTGGCCGTAGTGAGCTTCTGCAGTGTCAGCCTCCGGCCCTACCCTGCGCTTCTTCTGCGCGGGACTCTTCCTTGCCTTTTGAATCCGCGACCCTCCCTTTCATGCCAGGTACAAGTTTCCGGGCAAACCAACGCAGGAATGCCGAAGAGTCTCTTTTATCCTGTACTCAAAGACTTCCCCAAGTGGCCCTTTGGCCATTCCAGATAGGAGCAGAGGTTAAGTACTTGGTGGTCCTCCCTCTGGGGAAGACCACTGTCTTCCAGATGGCTACAATTCCAGATGACCTCCTGGGAACAAGGTTCGTTGCAGCGGGAGTTCATCCATGGTCTCCTGTTCACACACTTGGAAGGGACTCCCATTCAAAGCACAGGTAGTCCTTGATTTACCAACAGTGCAGCTATCCTCATGATCATGTGATCAAAATTCAGACACCTGGCAACTGGTTTATATTTATGACCCTTGTTGTGTCCTATGTGATCACCTTTTGCGACCTTCTGACAAACAAAGTCAATTGGGAAGCCAGATTCACTTAACAACTGGGTTATTAACTTATCACCTGCAGGGATTCACAATTCACAATTGTGGCAAGAAAGATCATAAAATGGGGCAAAATTCACTTAATAAATCTCTCACTTAACAACTGAAGTTTTGGGGCTCAATTGTCATAAGTGTAGGACTACCGTGTTTCATGACAGCCATGACAGGGTCTTATTTTCTTTTGAGCCCTGAAATAAGCACTTGGCCTTATTTTTGGGAGGTCTTATTATTTTTGAGATGCAGGAGGAGGTGAGTGTGGTCACCTCATGGCTGCTACTGTATTGCAATAATTTTGGGGAGGGCTTATTTTCAGGAGAGGGCTTATTTTAAAGCGTGAGCTCAAAAGCCTGTGGGCTTATTATCCGGGGAGGGCTTATTTTCAGGGAAACAGGGTACCTGTACTGTATTGATCCATGCTTGAAACGATCACTTTGGTACTTTGTGTTCAAAGCAGCAAAGCTTATTTGTTAAAATTCAAATCCAGCAATTTCAGTATTTTAGGTTTTCTCTCAGGGTCTTGTTTGCTAAGTCATTGACAACCATTTTTTTTTAACCATTTACATTGTATTATACAAGATGTGTTTATATTGTTTCCAGCCTGGAGAAAGGTAGCTTGTGCTTTGCCATTGTATTTTGATTTACTAATGTCCCATTGTGTTTTGACTAATACTGCAGACACCAGAGGCTCCCAAAATGGACAGGATATATGCTGAGATGACTGAGGAGAAGTAAGTTGAGCTTTTAGTGGAGGCCTTTTCTGTGAAGGGTTTTTCTTACCCTATGTAGTTTACAATAATGCAGTTATAGCTGTTTCTTAAGTTTTAAATGCTGTTTTTATTTTATCTTTTGAAATAGTAACTATTTTCATTGTATGCATGTTATAAATTTAATATGTACACATACTCTTATATATTCTGTTGGTAATAAATGGTTATTAACTTTCATATAGTTTTCTTTTTTCCATTATTTTAGAGACTTTACAGATGGCACAAAGAAAAGAAGAATTTCATCAGTAAGTATAACTTACCAGTGTATTTTCCTTGTGAAGAAAGTAATAGTATTTTCATAACAAATGTTATAAAAAGGGCACTACTTTATAACATGAACAATTTATCACAAAGATGTTGAGACTGATATTCTTTATATTTTTGCCTAAGTCTAGTTAAGGCACCAAACTAAAAAGCAGGAGACCATGAGTTCAGGTCCTGGCTTAGACATGAAAAATAGGCTTGGTGACTTTGGGGTAGTCACTCTCTCTCAACCCAACCCACCTTACAGGGTTGTGGTGGCGAAACTAGGAGGAAGGCATGATGGATATGTTCACCACCTTGAATTATTTGTAAAAATAATAAAGGCGGTGTGTGTGCTGGCATGTACTATTTAGATATTAGCTGAAATGTTCAGCTTATTATAAGCTTACTAATAAGATGTGAATTAGTATCTTGTTTTTGGTGTGTATCTACAAGACACGACCTTCAGAACATTTCTTAAATAGTTGAAGCATGTTAGAATCCATTTTGAATCCACTCTTTGAATTTTTCCAAAATGGGTTGCTATTTCGATTACAATAATTGGACTATTTAAGAAATATTCTGCAGGTAAATGCTTTCAGTCTTGGAACAGAGAGAGGCCAAATAATAGAGGTAAGCTATAGTTTTATGCTATATGTTAAAATAAATGTACCTATCATGAAAACAACTGCTTCCCTCAGAAATTAATTTGGCAATGTGAACACTATTTTCTGAACTATATCTTCTTTTTAGATTCTAAAAACTCCCCGAGAACCTGCCCGAGAACCTCTTTGTGACTTAGGCACAGGGAATGAATTTACTCAGGTAAGCACTAGCATTTGTTGATTGGAAGAGAGTCTCATTTTTAAAAAACCCATATTTTATAGGTTATAGTAACTGCAAAAGAAAACAATGTGACATGTTTATGTGGGAAAAATCCAACTGAAGATAATGAGATATACAGTTTCAAGGAAGTTTATTTAGGATGATGTTGCAATGTTATGGGAATATTCTACAACATTATTCCATGATATAATTTGGATTGTATTCTATCACCCACTATGGTCCTTAAGCACACACCTTGATTGCAGTTATTTGTAAAACTCTGTTCTAGTGCTATATAAAATTCAATTTTTCTCCTGAAAAATGCCAAACGAGAAGAGCATATATATTTTTGGTTTATTTCAGACTCCAGTCACATCTAGAACACAGTGCATCATTTCCAGGTTTGGAAGATGTGCTTCTAGAAAATTACAGGCCATTCCCACAATAGTCAGAATTGCGTTATAGAATAAAAATTAAACATTGTGTTTTGCCCATTCCTGAAGAACTCTGCTACAAAGTACGTTAACATGACAAGAAAATTTCAAGATATATTGGTTATCATGCCCCTCACTTAAGAATCAATTCTATTAGTGTAGAATTGTGCTGCATAGCACATTTACATGCTAAGACCAAGAGGAAATCAAACTATGTTTATGATTTTTGTTCCATGTTTACATGTGATTAAATATCACAGATACACCCATCCTTTAAAGTATGCTTAGATATAGGCAGTAAGTCATATGTTGTGTTGCCCATTTTGGATTTCTAGTCAAAAGAGAATTTGCCTTTGAATTTAATTTGTTGTGCATGCACAGGAAATCAATGCTGAGAAATGTCAGAAAAACTCCAGGCGGGTGAGTTTTGCAGAGACAATAAGGTGAGTTTGTTGAAAAAACATTTTAAATAGAAATGCATTCTTGAATGTAAAAAGCAAAATATGATAGTGGCTACAGAATATCCTTCAAGAAGTTGAACTGAAATCTTTCAATTGTTTTAAATATAAATATTGCTTAATTTAATACAAAAGAAAGAAAGGAATCCTAAAGAATCTCTTAAGTGCTAAATAAGAATAGTGTCTTCATTTACAGATATTTAATGTAGTTAATAATATATAGTTTAATTGCTAACTTTTAAGTCATTTAATACTAGCAATTCAAAAGTAAATAAAGTATATAGATTAGGATATGCAATGCAAACATCTTAACTGTTAAAAGCAGGTGTAATATTTTCTGAAGAGTCTCCAGTTTATGCCCAGAAATGACTTGGTAAGAGCAACTTTCCAGGCACTGAATAGAATCAAATTTGAAAGAGAGTACAGGTTAATTCAGTCAGGGCTGAATGCAAGATTGGGTAATACAATACAGCTGTGAAACTATCTGGAGTCCAAGGAGAGAAGATAATTTAGAACAGGGGTGTCAAATTGGTGGCACCACTGCGGCGTCAAGTAATGTATCAGGACTTTTTCCCCCTTCACTAAACCAGATGGGGGTGGAGCAAGCACATGATACATCTGGCCCTCGGGCCGCGAATTTGACATCCCTAATTTAGAAGATGTTTGGTTCACAAGTTGCATCTGTCAGCACTTTATTAAATAAAATAAAACTTTTTCACATTTAAAAGTGCAACTTCTTTATGAAGTTGCTGACAATTGCAGTTCATTCCCAGTCACCTTTTTTCCTTGAAATCTAAATAGCTGCACAGCTCTATTCAAACTTCTTTTTTTGCTATTTGTGCAGTAGGAAAGAAACTAGACCAAGATGGCTGACCTAGTGGATATATTTCTTTAAAAAAATATCTATCATCTTGCAAGCAGCTAAGAATAATAGATATTTGAATTATTTTCTTGAGAGCTAAAGAATCAGAAAGGAGCATATCAGAGTTTTTCAATGTTTATAATCCCTCAGTGTATATGATTTTAATGTTATGTTGTATAAGCCAATTGCCATATCCATCCCATACTTAAGAACTATTCAGAATATAAGACTGGAAATTGCTTTTTTTTTGTATCTTAAGCAAAGTGCAAGATCTTTAGGTCAGTATTTCTTGTGAAGTGAAAATACTGTTGTGTTAAAAGATAATTTCTTCTAAATTTATATTTTAAGTAAAAATTCTAAATGTATCACTGTTTTTAGGGTCTTTCCACATGATCCTCAAACTTTTGTTGAATTAAATCATGCAGGTGAGAATTTTTAAATTATCCTTAATTAATATATATGGATAAAATATATGTATTACATTACTACGATAACCACATATGCTTCTTATAACTGATCATTTTTCCACAATGTTCAGTTGTAGAACCTTCAAATGAAACGAGAAATCAAAATCTGCTAAATGAGTAAGTTATTGAATGAATAGAATATCAAATAATTTCTTTTAAAATGGCTAATCACTTTATTTTGTATGCATTTATACTAATATGGGATTGTTTGTTTGATACATTTAATAAATTCATCTTTATCATGTTATTAGTGTTACAGTTCACAATTCTAAACTTGTTGACTAAATGGCCTGATCCATACTTGCAATTGAAGCTTAGAAGGTTTTCACTAATAATATGTTTTCAGACAAATCAATATTTTAACAATATCCATAATTTTGTTATAAGTGTTAAATTTCCTAGAAACATTCTACTAATTCCAGCGTTTATAATTTCAAATTATACTTCCTGCTTGTTTTTCTTAATTAGCCTTTTAATAAGTTGATTTTAAGTTGGTTTCTTTTTCCAGAAATGAAGAACCAGAAGGTACCAAGTGTGAGATAACTGGTAATATTTATTTTCTTACTTTTTATTTATGCAGGTATTTAAATGGCCATCCAATCAATATTCAAAGCTTTATTGATAAATGTGCTTTATAAAAACATCATTGCTAAGTAGTCATATACCTTGATTTTGTGACAGAGAAGCTTCTGAATCCTAATAGGCTCACATCAAATGGTTATATGATAAAACTTCCAGTTTTCTGAATTGCAGATAGACTGGATATAAGAAAAAATGGTAGAACAAACTGTACAGAAGAAAAGAGCTAAATCAAGGGGCAATATTAGACAATGCATTACCAATAGCAAGTAACACTTATAATTATATTCTGCCCCATAGTGCTTTACAGCATTTCCTGAGCATTTTACAATGTTAGTATATTGCCCCCAACAAGCTGGGTACCCAGTTTACCATCCACAGAAGGCTGAGTCAACCTTGAGCAGATCAGGATTGAATTCCTGGAATGAGCAGTATGTTATCCCTGCAGTACTGCATTCTTACAATGTCATCACAGATCCACATATAGGGAAGAATGTATCCCTATATGAAGGTGAAGGTGAAAAATAAGACTTGAGGGCATGCCATTTGCAAAGAGAACAAAAAAAAGTGTGACGTCATCATGCAAATGACACAATTTACATATTTATTTCGGATATCATGAGTTCTAGTCCTGCCTTAGATATGAAAAATAGGCTTGGTGACTTTGGGCTAGTCCTCTCTCTCTCAATCCAACCCACCTCACCAAAAAATAGGAGGAAAAAGGTATGCTTGCTACCTTGAGTTATTTATGAAGAATACTAAAGGCAGGATAAAATTAAAAAATTGAATAATCATATCATTTGCCTGATTATGCATATATCATTGTGGCTTGTAATTAGTATCATTGCTTGAACAATAGGAAACAGAATGGATACCAAATGGGATACAAGATGGATACTATAAAGAAATTTCTTGATTCTAGAAAATGTAATCTTTTGCTAGCACTAGGTTAGGGGAGAGAACAGATTGATTTTAGTAAAAAATTATACAGCATGTTAACATAACGCTAACCAAAAGGATTTAATCCTATTTTCTTCCTCAAAGGGATGAACACTTTACTTCATGCTCCTATCCACACTTTGCAACATATGGAGGTAAAATACACTAATTTTTAATTATGTAATCTATCATCTATTTAATACAGTACAGTATGATGTATTGGAATGGTATTGGAATGATAAAAACATCTATAAATACTAGTACACGTTTTCAAAAAAAAAAAGCTAATACTGCTTTCAGTAATTCCATGAGTTGACGGATATCTATCATGTCATCGTTCCTTTCATTGTTGCTTATTACTTTTGGCAGCAACTCAAATAATACTTTAAGCTCTTATTTAAATGGATGATAGTTTATTTCATTCAAATTGCTTGGACAGAAGATTTAACTGGAGAGCTTTAGCTTGCAAATTACAATACCTGTTCATACATAAGAGAAATACAAATTTAAATATTTTCAATATTTTTTTTATTTAGATTCAACACTGATTTTTAATTCCATATTTTTCATTTTGTACTCTTAACATACGTCCTTAAAACTTTCTCTTCATTTCTCTGCTTTCATGTAATGTATTTAAACACTTTTTTGCCAGTAAACATATCTTGAAGGTTTTCTCCTTTCTTAAAAATAACTTTATAAGAATGACTATTGAGAGCATTTGGAATTTGTGATGCCCTAAATACTTATTAAAACTTTCTTTTCTTTGAAACCTGAGGTATAATCTGTACATTAAATATAATTGATCTGAACTTTTCAGGAAATACCTCTCTTTTTATCTTCTTTTATTGCGGATAATAATTGCTTAGTTTCAAAATTCAGGATTCTTTTTTGTCAGTTTTTAGTTTAATGCAATCACATTTGAGCCCAGAATTATCAAACCATTCCCATTTTTATGAAAGTCAAAAGATGAATTTAAAATAAGTAGTGTATTTTAATTTATTTATAGAAAGAACAGAGCTTTGGCATTCAGTGTAACATAGGTTTGTAAAACATAGCTTAAATATAATTAGTAGTTAAAATGTCGGTGCTTTCTTCTCTTTTATAGTGTCTTGATGCCAACCCTAGCCAAGAGTTGAACATGGTGGATAGAACACTGATTTTTTCAGAACAAAATGAAATGGATATGACTTCTGGTCACACAATCTTGATTACCCATGACACTAAAGTTTGTCAAGACACTGACAAACCCAAGAAAATAAATTTTGAATCATTTTTGTCTGAGATAAAACCTAGAAAAAAAACTTCACAAGTTACTGAAACCTGCTTCTCATATAGTTCTGTACAAATGAATGAGGGCAATTTATCTCAACAGAAGACAAATACTGAAAAGACACAGAAAATTAATTTAGGAGACTTTTTGGGAAGTTTAAAGTCCACTAAATTGTTTTCAGCACCCTGTAATGAGATCCCTTCAAGTGGAGCAGCTTTAGAAAGAAGCACTTATTCTTCCAAACAAAATGCAAGTTCTCATTTGCAAATGGAAAATTGCAACATGACTACTGTCTTTGGAGGACTTGATAATAGGCAACATGGTGAAACCTCTGCTCTATCAATTGAAAAAGGCATTTCTGCTTCAAAACAATTAGGATGTGCTGAAAGTATGGATGTAATTACTACCAATACAGAAAGACTTTTGCCATCTGGAACTAGCTCAAGTAGCATGATACATCAACAACAGAATCTTGGAAAGGATAAATCAGTTACTCATAGCACAGTTAGCTGTACTCTAAGGACTTCAAATTCTCAGCTTGGTATTCAGCAAAACACAAATATGTCTCACAGTGAAATAAATGTAAATAACAAGGAAGCAAATATTAACCATAATTCTGCTGTCAAGATAACTAACAGGGACACTTTACCCTCACAAACCAGTTTTGGGACTATTACAGAACCTTCTGTCACTTCTGTGCCTGTTCTCCATGGTGATAAAACTAATTTCTCTGAAGATATGGAAATGACCAAGAATTGTACAGGTTTAATCTGGGAAGTTCATTCTAAAGGAACAGATGGCCCTGTTCATGGCTTAGTTCAAAAACAGAAAACTGATGTTTTTGAGCTAATGGACAGAACTAATATTAGAGAGATTGAGATGGACATTACAAAAAACCATGTTTCCATGAATTCTTACCTAAACAGCATGCATCATTCTAACTTAGTCAGTAAAATGACTGCTGCAGATCAGCAAAATTATTACGGTAACGTGGAGCTTTTAAATCAAAGAGTAAATCTTAACTCTGCAAGAAATATAAACTTAAATACAAGTCAAGTTTCCAAGAGTTTTAAAAAGCAGGTAGAGACTCCATTAATGCCATATACTACTAGTGGTATCACTAAATGGACTAACTCAGCAATAGGAGATAGTACAATTAATAAATCAATTGGGCTTTCAAACAATGCAGTATCTTTAATACCTGAACATGAAAATACCTTCGCTTCCAGTGAGAATATGGAAATAAGTAAAGCAATAGGATCCTTAAGACATAATTCTCTGAAGCCTGTTGCATTCCGCGATATACCACAGCCGTTGACAGGTGCTAGTAGGAAAAGCATAACTGATTCAGATTCTGATAAGTTTATGGCATTGCCGTTGAGCGAAGACAATGAAATGGAGATTACCAAGAGCTGTACGGTGCCAGTAAATTACAACATGCTGCGGCAAGAGAGAACCACTCAAGTGTTTCCCTTCGAATCTGTAGACAAAACTACTAATATATATAATGATATGGATGAAACTAAACCTATAACATGTATAATAAATCAGCATGTAGAAAATTCTGGTTCCCAGATTATGCAAAAGCCTGGTAGAAGTAGGCCAACCAAAGATAGGACTATTGTGTTTTCCCTCAATGACGGGAATGAAATGGACATTACCAGAAGCTACACAGTAGCATTAAATCATGATCCTGTCACTTTTGCAGAAGATAGGCCTGTTCTTTCAATTGTATCTTCAAATGAAGCTATCCTATCTACATTAAATGATGGTGCGGAAATAACTCATCCTCTTGCAAGTGAAACTCTTAGAAGTATATCTGACTTCTTTAACATGCCAAAGCAGGGTGCAGGAACTGGAAGGAAAACAATTGAGTCAGATAGTGATAGGTCTGTTGCATTTCCTTTGAGTGCAAACAGTAAATTAGAATTTAGGAAGAACCTTACAGAGGCAGTAGAAAGAACTCAAGAACAAACTTCATCTTCTGAAGAGAATATCAACATTAATATATCAAATAATATGGCAGTAAATAAAAGCATGTCTTTTGCTCCTTCAGATAAAACTGTAATGTTTGTACATAATAATGACATGGAACTCACTAAACCAATTAGTATGACATCTATCAAAGATACTGTCTTTGAGAATTTACAGTCAAAGAACAAAGAAAATAGCATTCTAGTAAAATCAGCCAAGAAAGGAACTGATCTGTGTTTTCTGGATGAAAATGAGATGGAAATGACAAGAAGTCATACAGTAGCAGTCAACTATGATCTCCAACATGCTAAGGCGGCCCCTCAGAAATTGTTCGTAGATCCTGCAAATGAAACCAGTTTGTCTGTACATAATAACTTTGAAACAATAAGTAAATCTTCAAGTTTTGTTCCTGCAGAAAACACCATGATTATGAGCAGTCATGATATGGAAATGACAAAATATTTACCAGCTGAAATTTTCAAAAATAGTCTAAAACCTTTGCGACAGAAAAGAAATTTAAATTGTGAGTCTACTTTAGTAGACCCAGATAATAATAGTGTTTTTGCCCAACAACATAATGAAATGGAGATTACAAAATGCCACACGGTGTTAGTTAACCATGATGATGTTTTCCATAACAAAAAGATTCTACAAACATCTATTCAGAATAATATGGATACTGCAGGATTTCCTAAAATTGCCAAAAATCCTGAAGAAATTTTTCATAAGAAACCAGAAAAGAATGCTGAATGGGAGTTCTCTTCAAATCAAACAGCTAATGAGCCAGTAAATACTAATATGCACACAGTAATGTTTGATAACAAAACAATTGAATATTGCCAGGTTGCTAACCAAACTAAACAACTTTTTCCTTTCAATAAAACTAATGCATTCACATCTTATCAGGATGGCACAGAAGCTACTAGTTTGCACTCTGATACTATAAGTTGTGGGAATCTGCAGGAATTTAAGAAAGAGATGCTAGAAAAAAATATGGAACAGAATCACGAGGAAAATGATCTGGAATTTATAAAAAAAGACACAGTTACCAACAAGGAACATAACTGCTATGTGGTGTCTGCTGAAAAACAGATACCAAACACTTCCAGAATGTCAAAAGAAAAAACTGTTGCTTTTTCAGATGATGGGAACATGGAGATAACTAGCAACTACACAACAGGAATTGAAAAGAAGTTTATGAGTGATAGAAATGAATGTGAGTTACATTCCCTTGCTATATCTAATGCAGAATGCTCTGCTTCAATAGTTGATTGTGAAAAGAAATTAAATATTGACAAAATTACATCTGAAAAGTCCATTGTCCAAGCACAGCAGAACATTTTGAATACTAAAGAGAGACTAGAGCCTTGCACAGCTAAAATTAATCATATGAAAGAAACTGTCTCAATTGTAGATTCAAATAAAGAGAACGAATTGATATTTCCTATCAGAAAGTCCTCTCTACTGCCAACCTTACCTGATGAAATTGCCCTTGGTTTAAACAGAGAGAAAAACCTATTAAATGAAAGCAAAATGGAAAAAGACTTTAAAAAATTATCTCAGTCAAGACAATTAGATGATATTACTATAAAAGAAATGGATGTACTTCCAGTGGATGAGCCAGTCATTTTAAATAAAGAATCTAGTGTTATCAGCAACTGTCCAAAGTTACAAGATGCTGAGAAGAAACCAGAACTTGTTCTGTTCTCTTGTGATGCCCAGTCCAGTCTTAGTGAAGAATTGCCCAAGCTGATAATGAAGCCAGATTGTTCCTTGAAGTTGAAAGAAGACAGGAGAATTGAATCCAATGCAATGGCTTCTAAAGCAGGAATAAATACAAGTTCTACTGATGGCATTCCTCTTAATGTACATTTAAATACAGATAACAATAAAATAAGAATAATGCCCTTGGCTGTCTTCCCACCTAAATTACCAAATAAAAGAAAATCTGCACTTTCCAACAAAGAAGCTCCTGCTGCCAAATTGGATAAAAACTCAGAAATTCAAGATTCTGAAGTCGCTTTACTTACAAAGAGTTCCTCAGATAAAATAAACCAGAAATTGTGTCCTTTTTACATAGATGAAGAACTGCTTCCTTCATATGCAGAGGAAATGGATTCTAATGAATCTTTATGTCATGAAGTGCCAGAAAAATGTCTTGACAAGATACATGAAAAAATGATTGTTAATAAAATGGTTGAAACAAATCAAAAATTAAAGAGACCTATAAATCAAGAAAATGAGGACATTCAAGAAGAAAAAAAGTTCAAGAAAGATATGGACTGGAATGATATTGCAGAAAAAAAGCAGGTTGGTAAAAGTTTACTATTTTGTTCAGTTCTTGCAAATCTGTGGGTTAAAAAAATAATTACCAACAATAGGATTTTATTTTAAAGAAGATCAGTACTACCTACAAATTAGCTAGGTAATATTGGAAAACAGATTATTTCAGTTTTAATGCTGGCACCTGTGCCTTGAGAATAAAAATACTCTTAACAAAAAATGGTGATAATGAATAGGTTATATAACTGAAAAAAGCATATAATTTTAAACTAAAGATGTATATAACCTGTAAAATATTTGTAATATTTCTTGTGATTTGATATTTTATGAATAATGACTTTTAATTTTAGATCCTTCATAGCACAGAGGTACCTCATAACGACACAGAAACTGAAGAAAATAAACATATTCCAGAAGTGGTGGCCACAAAACAGAAAAAGAAACAAAGCAGCAATAACCTTTTTGATTCATTTAAGGTTGAAACAAGTTGCAATAGTAAGATTTCTTTCAAACTAATGACTTAAATAACAACTGAAATACAGTAGAGGCATTTGCAGTATTGTATATGGAAGTTTTTCCTTCAGTTGTCAGAAGGTATTTGGGCTTATTTCATGCAGCTTATCTACTACAATTGCTCATATTATTCAGAAGTAGTTCACTCTAAAGATGGTTCTTGTTAAGAGTAAAAAATCTTTAGGTTCTATGCACAATTCCTCTATATGTGAATTTTAGCTAATGTGCTGTGGTCCTGTTCATTCATACAATTACTGTTGTACTTGTCATGCCAGTTTCAGAATATTGATTACCATATCAGATACTCCATACCTCCCAAATAGATACAGTTCCAAATGAAGAGCTACAGATAATAAACTATTTTTTAAAAAAATTAGAGCCTAACGGGAACAAGGGAAATGTTTGTGGCTCATGATTTCTCAAGGCATCTTTATGGGAGTTATCAATAGTGAGGATGGACACAGTCAGAAAGTAAGGGAAGAGAATGTAAGACGGATATTGTTAACTTCTTTAAAGTTGTCTTAACCTGAACCCAAACCACATTCTCTCTAGCGTTTCTGTGTATTTTCTATCTGCATTATATTTTCTATAATATAGATGATAGAAAATACACAGAAATGCTAGAGAGAATATTATATTATATTATATTTTCTATAATATTATATAATATCAGTCCCTCTGTTTCCATGAATCTGGGTGGGCAAACTAATTATTGGGTTTCCTTATGTGGGTGGGGCTGAATTATTGAGACTAAGTTTCGAAGAATTTAAGAAGGGAACTGAAAAAGGTTTTTTTTATTTTTTTTTGTTTTTATTTTTAAAACTGGGAAGGTTGGTTGGTTGGTTCTTCCTGCTCTGTGGATGTCATGACATCACTGGCCATGCCCACTATGGTCTAGGCAGGATCCAAAAAAGAATGCAAACTGGAGATAAAAAAAAAGTTTACCATCACTGCCATAAATTGGCAGTTGTGTTTTTTAGAAACATGGGGTGAGATGCTAGATGACTTTAAATTCAAATACTGGTAGAATTATTTCTTCCTATTCCTATCAGAAACCCTACAATAAAGTGCTGCTTCTCATTTATGTCAAAGTTTATCAGAATATTAAATGAGAAAAAAATGAAACTATGCCAAATAAAATCAAAATTAAAATCATTTAGGCTGTAAACTAATGCTATTGTTACTGATATATATATCTTTAGGTGGGATTTTTTTACTCACATCCCTCACCTATTTTTTTCTTCTAGTTCATCAAAACATTGAACTGGAGACTCAGCTTCTCATGGATAGTATTTGTGAACAAAATTTGCAAGAGGTATATATTAAATTATACCGTTTTCTTTCAAAACATATTTTGATACATAAGGAATGACCTTGAAATCTAGCAGGTTTCTCATAATGTTTAATTAGCTAGATTTTGTGTTGCCCGTTTTGCTGAAATTGTGACTGTCGACCTATTATCTTAGATAATGCTTTCATACACTGAATTAATTTTTATTCTTACATTTTGGTTATAGCTTAATGTGTATATTAAAAATATAATTAAAAAGTCTTGAGACTTTTGATTTCAACTCCAAACTAATGTTTTTACTTAAACGTTTCCATTTTAGAAATTGCTGGAAGGTACTATCACAGTTCGTGAATTTTTCACACTTCTCCAAGTCCATGTTTTAATACAAATGCCTCGTCAGAGTCACCTTCCGGTCAAGGTATGTATGTGTAAAAGGTCCTAGTATCGTATTTTTCGGAGTATAAGACGCACCAAGGTTTTGAAGAGGCAAATTTTTTAAAAAGTAGGTAGGGAGAGAGAGTGAGAGAGAGAGAAATACAGTAGGTAGGTAGGGAGAGAGAGTAGGTAGGTAGCTAGGTAGGTAGGGAGAGGGATAGAGAGAGAAATACAGTAGGTAGGTAAGGAGAGAGAAAGTAGGTAGGTAGATAGATAGAGGGATAGAGAGAGAGAGAGAAATACAGGAGGTAGGTAGGGAGAGAGTGAGAGTAGGTAGGTAGGTAAATAGAAGTAGAGAGAAAGAGAGAGAGAGAAATTAGGTAGGTAGGGAGAGAGTGTGGGTAGGTAGGTAGTTTTTTGCAGGTGCATTTATCCATGTGCTGGAGAAGGAAATCGCTGACAACCTGCAGCACCTAAAGCTTGTTTCTGCTGGCACAGCACTTGATCAATGTCATTCTAATCAATCACTAACTAAAGAGCTTTCCAAAGGAGGAGGGAGTTTTTGCACTCTGCAAACCTCCCCAAAATGGCCCATTTTTTGCGAAAACGGGCCCTTTTTAAAAAAAATAAAAGGCATGAATAGCCTTGGGGGGGGGGTCTTGCAGAGTGCTCCTGAGGGGTGGGGGGGGCAAAAAAGAGCAAAAGGTCAGCCCATTTTTCGCGAAAACTGGCTTTTTTTTGTAAAAAAAAAATTGCATGCATAGCCTTATGGAGGCTTATAAAGTGCTGCGGGGGAGGGGGCTTTTTTGGCTCATTTCTGCCCTCCCCAGACCCCAGGAACTGTCTGAAAGCCTTCATAAGGCTAGGCCATTTTGGTGCGGGGGGGGGGGCTTTGGGAGGCAAAAAAATTCTCTATTCAGTGTATAAGACGCACCCAGATTTTCAGCCTCTTTTTTGAGGAAAAAAGGTGTATCTTATACTCTGAAAAATACAGTAATTATGTTGCAATATGACTAAGAATTTGATTTTACTACTGAAACAAGCGTAGTGCTTTATATTAGAGATTTAAGATTCATCAGTATGCATATTGTACTTTATAGATCTCATTCAGCCATTATAAACATATTTTTTAACATTCAGTTTAATTTACATTTATGCAATTTTGGCCTCTGGAATAGCTGTACCAAGAAGGAAGCAATTTGTATTGCTTCCAGTTCAATTCTGTGCATATTGATTTTCTCAAGTCTAAACAGGAACATTCTAATTCTAATTAGATTCCTTCTTAAGAAACTATATATGTTTTTTCCCCCTCTGTAGCACACAGTCAATACATCATATGTCCCAGAAGATGAAATTCTCAGCTACTGCATCTATCAACCCAAATTGCAGGTTTATAAGGAAGACTGTCAAACTCTTCACACAATAATAGAAGAGTAAGATACTCCCAATTTTTCTTCAGACATTACTTGTATTAACATCTACTTAAAACTTGATATGAATTGCAATATTATTGATATCAGTTGATCACTTTAATGTGTGCATTGTAATTCAGAAATAATTATGAATTCTTATTAAAAAGATTACAAAGTAGAGCTGTGCATTAAATGGAAACAAAAGCAATACATGCCAATTGCCCAGTGTCTGAATTTTGATCACATGACCACGGGGATACTGTGACATTTAGCAATGGCTAAATGTGAAAAACAGTCATACAGACACTTTTTTCAATGCTATTATAACTAAATGGTTTAGCTCTGGACTATCTGTATGTTTAGCTTTTTTTAATCCCATACTTGTGTTTAGGAAAAGTTCTGATAATGTCACTAAAGCGAGAATAGAAGGAGAGCAGATTTGAAGTGTAAATTACTGCCTATGGATTGATCACTATGTAGCACACTATGGCATTAGACAAAGTCCTTGAGAAAAATCGAACAATTGTAATGCAGATATTGACATGTTTTTTTAAAAAAAGAAGTATCCCATAATTTCAAATGTGCTGCCCTCTTAAAAGTCTGCTTTCTTGCTGTATAGTAGACATCCAGTAAAGATGACTGTATAGAAATCCTCAAAATTAGAGCTAACTACAAGAATAATGTAATATGTCTATTAATAATCATTTTGGTTCTGTTCTGTGAATAGTTCTACAGTTTTTTGTGTTTAGACATGCAGGCAAAGCAGAAGTGAGTGAAAATAGAGGTTAAACATTAAACATTATGAGTGCATGGCTCAGTGACCCAACATATCCTCCAAGTTGTTTATATTTGGGTATCTGAAAGCTTTCTTTAAAAATCCCTGAAAACCTTGCAGGGATACTGCAGGAAAAGTTGGTACAGCCACCCTTTGTTTTACTGGATCCCAGCCAAGTTATTTCTGCTTTCTATCAATAGACTTGCACAGATGTTTGTTTCATTTCAGATTAAAACTTCATGCAGCTGATCAAGATAAACTTCTGATGAATATGAATAAAAGTTTTTGGGAAGTAATGAAAACTTGCTCAAAGGAAGAGGTATAAGACGACTGACTTATTCTGCTTAATTATAACTATTGGAATGTGTCAATAACCTATCTTAATTTATGAATATTTGGGTTTTTTACCAGGGCACTTTGTATAGAAATTGCTTAAATATGCTCACTTTAAAAATAGTTTTATATAAATGAAAACAGTATATAAATAAAAAGATATAAGAAAAATATGTACAGATAGTTACTGCATGCTCCTTCATTGATAATGGACTATTCTTTTAGATTGAATAACTTTAAATAAAAATTTAAAATGTTTCAATAGGTGTTGTAGAAGCAGATGCTTTTATCAATTCCACAAAGATCTTCCAGAAAAAACACTACTAAGGAGGATTTGTTAAATAGGACAGAGATGTTGAAGTGATAGGTAACATGATAGCAATATTTTAGTATTTAAGAGGCTGTCACAAAGAAGAGAGGGTCAACTTATTTTCCAAATCATCAGAAGGCCAGACAAGAAACAATGCATGGAAACTAATCAAGAAGAGAAACTTCCTAACAGTGAGAACAATTAACCAGTGGAACAGCTTGCCTTCAGAAGTTTTGGGTGCTTCATCACTGGAGGTTTTTAAGAAGAGACTTGTCTCAAATTGTATAGGATCTCCTGCTTGAGCAGGGGGGTTAGACTAGAAGTCTCTTCCATCTCTATTGTGAATGATTGATTGATTGATTGATTGAAGTGAGGCTGGGGCTATCCTTAGAAATTAAACAGAAGCTTGCGATGGACTTCTTGTTTCCAAGTTGTCTATATGATGAAGTTAATTCAGCAGATTCCACCAATTCATTCAATACTACATTTGGGGATTCAAAATAAGTGTTTTGGAAAGAGGTGGATAAGAGAAATTGTTTCTGATAGCTGTTTGATGTGGCCAACATTTGAATTCAATCTATTGCTGATGACCGTAACCACTGCGCTGAGGTGGCGCAGTGGTTAGGGTGCAGTATTGCAGGCCACTTCAGCTGACTGTTATCTGCAGTTCAGCGGTTCAAATCTCACCGGCTCAAGGTTGACTCAGCCTTCCATCCTTCCGAGGTGGGTGAAATGAGGACCCAGACTGTGGGGGCAATTTGCTGACTCAATTTGCTAAAAATCTGTAAACCGCTTAGAGAGGGCTGAAAGCCCTATGAAGTGGTATATAAGTCTAATTAATAAATAAATAATAAATAAATGAATTATCAGCTAAACTAAGGAAAGTTTAATTTCATTGCAGCTGAGAGGTTTTGGTGCTGAGCTGAACAAAATGAAATCCCGTTTCACCAAGCAAAGTAAAGTTCTTGCTCACAAAGGAAAAGCAAAATTATATGTGAAGTTGGTGCACCATGCAAAGGTAAATTATTTATGGTAAACAATGAGATATAACAGTTGACCATTTTAATTATTAAGAATTCTGTTTTTGTATCCTGCCCTCCTTATAAGCTGTCTTTTTTCCTTTACAATGCAATTTTATAAGATTAATAGCTTGTTCCTAGAAAAATAAGCAAAGTACATTGTGGTTTAACATTCTGTATAATCCGAGTTGCTGACTATTCCAAGATGAAATTTGCATCTGAACAGGGATTTGAATTCAAGCTACCTTGTCCCAAAGAAAATGTAACTTGAGTAAATTGTGAATTTACTTGCAAATAATATGTAATATAGCTCAATACTCCCTAATTGGAATTATTACTTTTTAAAAATCTTAAACAATAAAATAGAAATGCATGCAAATGAATTGCGGGATACAATTTCCATCTAAATTTAACTTGCAATGATATAATGTGGATGGCCTACTACAATTACTAACATTGTCACTAGAGTTGTTCATTGTTAGCTTTTCTCTCCCCATAATAGTACAAAACTCATTTTAATCTTCTCCTATAAATAATAGAAGAAAAAGTGTAGCAAATCCTTTGTTTTCTTAATTTTTAATATGTTAGTAAGAAGCATATTCCATTATGGACATTACCATTTTCATTTCGCATATGATAAATAGACCGGAGACCCTGATTATGCAGCCATTAAATATGTATGTGTGTCAGATCTATCCTTTGTGTGATACATCACCCAACACTTTATGTAATATTTGAATATGATTACATTTTTTATTTTTGCATTAGCAAACAAACGTTATTTGATGGCATTAATATTAACTTTATATTTACTGTAATATAAATATTACATTACAAATGAAAAGTATGTTCTTTATTATATAAGATGGAATGTGAAAAACTACAATCAAGATTAGCTAAAATGGATGAACTTATGAAAGAAATTGATAGCTGTCTTTTTGTTCTGGAGAAAGGTACAACTTTTAAAATTTTGAGACAATTCAGTCTTCTTGAGTTAGTATAAGATGCTTGCTTTCCTAAATTTATAGCAAACTTCTATTACAATAAAAATTATAAGAATTTGGCACAATGTATGGTTTCCATAAGGTTTATGCCCTAGCCTTTGTTTATATTTTCTTTAACAAATAGAGAAGACAAGAATCGTAGCTTTATAAAATTATATTTAGCTAGTTCAAAACTGAGCAATTTAGACATGTTTGTTCAACCCCAAACAGAGTGAACAAACATCTTTTTAATCTTTCTGTTTGAGGTGTAGTAACGATTTCTGCCAGATCATATAACACCTCTCCATATTCCAGGTCTCGTGCCACACTCCTGACACCCGGTGGGGCTATTCCCCTCCCCCCCCAGATACATAGTTTATCAAGAGGGGTGGGGTGCAAATATCCAGTTACTATGTAGCACATATCACTAGGCTCCCTATCTATCTGTATAGCATGCACCGAGTAGCCTCAGACAGGGCAAGCATATTCTCTTGACAAACAACATAATGCAAGTGCAGTCATTTGCAGAGTAGTAGAGTGTTTCTAGCCAACTTTCTAAGGAGATTATTGCGAGTAGTGTTCTTTTGCTTTAAATTGCAACATGGTCTTTTAAAATATAACACAGCAATAACATAGTGTCTCACAACGTACCAGACTCACTCCATCCCAAATAATATTAAGCCTGCATCTGGCCTGCCTCTTTAAGATGGCATGCACAATTATTAAGTTTTTGATGGATTGTAAACCATTGCTTACTAAAATTAGTTTCTGTGTTGCAGTGATATAAGTGTACATCAGTCCTCCTGAAACCAATGCAATATGATCACCAGTTGGAAGTCTTGCTTTTTAAAATTGGAATTATATCAAACCGTAGGTGCAATATAGTAAAAGTAAAAGCTGTATCTGTAATTTACAGATGAAACTCAAAAAATTAGAATATCATGCAAAAGTTCATTTCAGTAATGCAACTTAAAAGGTGAAACTAATAAATGAGATAGACTCATTGAATGCAAAGCAAGATAGTTCAAGCCATGATTTGTCATAATTGTGGTGATTATGGCTTACAGTTCATGAAAATCCCAAATCCACAAACTTAGAAAATTAGAATATTACATGCAATC